TTTACACACACACACACATACACGCACATACACACACAAATTCACACCGTCGCACACACACGGGCACTTTTTTTTTCGCCAACACGCACAACCCCCCAAACTGAGCCACCCAGTTACACAAACAAATACACACACACATAATCACATTCACACACACACATACACAAACTGCGACCTTTCTTTTATTTTATTTTTCCAAAATTTCTTTTTTCTTTTTATTTTTTTTAATAGCGCAAAACAAGCAGTTAGATAAATTAAAAAAAAAGGGTTGCAAGCAAAAAAATAAAAAAGGTGGTTTGGGGGGTTCGGGCGCAGGGGTGGAGGAGGGGGGCCAGGGGGGGCTACGGGAGGGTTTGGGTTATGAGGGGCCTGAAAGCAAAAAAAACACTCGTCGTCTGAAAACAGAAACATCACAAATGCCAAGATGTAATGATCGAAGCAAAACGCAAACCAATATAACATGGATAATAGCAAAAATCTGACACATCGTGTCGAAGCCCCGCCAGTCTGTGGAAAGAAGTACCAACCCGAAAATGCCGACGAAAAAACACACTAAAATACACTGGAAAGCTACAATCTCTGAAGTAGCAAACTGTAGAAAGTACACTATAATACAACATCACGAAACACTACGTCTGCGCAGAAAAGTACCCAGTGGAAAGTAGACTATAATACAACCTCACGAGACACTACGTCTGTCATGGATAACAAAAAACTAAAGTGCACTGAGGAAGTCACGGAAATGCAAGTCCGTAATCCGTCAACGATCGTCGTGCGCACGCGGATCTCGCTCGGACCGATGAGAAACTCCTCCGTGGGACCGACCCCTGCCACCTCCTCGATCTCTCTGACGCTGGCCGCCGCGTCCGCCAGCGGAAGGCTCGGGAGCGACGAGAAGCTCATCGGAATCGTCGTCCATAATGACTCTCCTGCCTCTCACCGTCCTGATGGCTGTTGCTGCTAGGTCATCACGTCGGCGTGACTCGCGTGCCATAGGTAGACCGTCAGTCCTTGAAGTCTCCCCCTCCTGGCGTCAATCTAAGGGCACGTGTCGAGTCTGCCTCAATCGTGTAACAACATCAGGCTCTTCCAAAATAATCGACGCCTCTCTCAAACCGTACATCCGCGGCGGATCCACTGCGCTCGTCGTGGCACCGCCTGCGCCCTCACGTCTGCTGTCACCGTCGCCACCACTGCCACCGCAGCCACCCCCTCTACCGCCAAACCCTGCAGCTACAACATCTCGACGTCTCGCGCTTGTGGAAACCCCTCTTAAACCTGGTTGACGACCGGCAATTGCCGTCGTCACCCGTCTCGTCTCACTCCATGGTCGGTCTGTGCGACCGAACAACATGGTGTCCAGCAACTCCCGCGCACGCTGGGTAGTGTCTCTCTATCTACGGGCAACCGACCTCGGGGTGAGGCTGCCGCCCTCCCTCGGAGCTGCGCTCAAGGGTGACGAAGGGCCTGCGGCGCCTCCAGATGGCGCTGCGACCGAACCTCCAAAAGGTAAGTCCCCTGCGGCCCCGCCCGATGCCGCTACGACGGAACCTCCAGAAGGTAAGCCCCCTGCAGCCCCGCTAGATGGCGCTGCGATGGAACACCCAGAAGGTAAGTTGGGGCTGGCTGGTCCCCAAGATAAGTCCTTCACGTGAGCCAGCTTCCCCTCCTCCAGGACTGACCTCAAAATGCGCTGGTCAATCTCCGTCAGATCCCTCCTGCCGTGGTCCTCCAACTCCCCAGCGGTCAAAAAACCAAAAGGGAGGCTGCCTCAAGGCGTAGCCACGTGCCTAATCTTCGGCCTCGTCCGTGACGGCGCAAAAGTAGGGACCGGGGGTATGCACGCGCCCCTGCCTACACGTGGCTCCTCGACCGGGCCACCGCCATGTGCAGGACGCCTATAACCCTCCAAAAACGGTGCCTGATGTGGCACCACTGCCCCACAGCAGTGCGAACCACCAAAGTCTGTGGCATCTCTTCTCCGTCCGCATCACGCCTGTCCACCTGTGCGGGGTCTCCCCCGCCGGACGTGGACATCGGATCGGCCGCGGACGGCACCCCCGACCCACCAACACCAACGGCCCGCGATACGGCCCCGTCCCCCCCGGTGGTCAGCGCTATCCCCTCCGCCTGTGCCGATGGGCGAATATCATCAACGCCCACTGACTGCCCCGTCTATATGTCCTCCAGACCCGGGGACATATGCACGGCACCCTCAACTGAACCGGCGGGCAGAGGCACGCCCGCGACCTCCTGCAATGTCTCCTCTGGCCTCAGCTGCACGACAGGAGGCTGCGCCGGCTCCGAACGTGGCTCCTCTGTCGGTGCCAACCCGCTCTCGTGCGTCCCCTGCTGAACATCTACTCCCGTACTCGAAACCTCTGCCGAAGCCGCCTCCCGCTGCGTCGTGTCGTGAACGCATGGCAAGGGAGAAACTACTCAGGTCCGCGAAGCCGATCTGTCCCAGTAAGTCCTGCATACCCACACTAATGTCCCCACGGGACTCGCTCTCTCCTCGGGCCAGACCCACGCTCTCTCCCGGGGGCATACCCATATCGCCAAACTCACTGAAACCGCCACCGCCGCCCATCGGTATCCCCTCAACCGCCACATCAACCTCGGCACCGCCTCCACCTCCGGCCAGCGCACCACCATCTCCACCAACCAACCCCTGTCTGTCTCCGTTGTCACCCTGCACCGGCATAGGAACGCCCTCCAATCTGTCCTCCAATCGCTGTCTCGGGCCCCTCACCAATCTCTGCAATCGATCGGCACCGGCTGGCTGTCGATGAAGCTGCTCCGTCGAAGTGGGAAGAGCGGAGGATGATGTCGTGCCAGAGCAACGCAGAGGATGATGGCCAATCCCCGACTCTGCCCCCCTCGAAGGTGCAGACCCAGGATCTGTCTCCCGCTCAACGGGAAGCGGGGCACTGGACGTAGGCCTCGGACGCTCCAAAGGGCTCCCATGACGACCCCCAGACTCCTCCTCCAAATCAACTCGAACGAAAAGGTCATCTCCGTCACTCCGTCTACGGACGTCCTCTGGGTCGCTCCACTCATCACGCTCATCCGCCGCAGGAGTGGCGCTAGCGGGGCCCGCCGGCTCGTCCTTGTCCTCGCGACCCTCGGAATCACTATTGTCTTGAGGGTACGGGTGCAATGTGGCAGCTCGAGTCCCAAAAACATCGCCCACATCACCCGGAGGAGCTCTGGACCCACATGGGTCTCGCTGCCATGAACGTCTCTGATCCTCGACCTCCTCCCGCGTCCTGCTCTCGTCCGTCCCCTTCCACGAGGGGCGAATCCCGATACCTCCCTCCACGTCCAACAACGACTCATCTAGAGTCCACTGCAGCGCGAACCCGCGGCCTGCCCGCTGATGAGAGAGAAGGCGGACGTTGGCTGAGATCTCAACCAACTTCGCGACCTTCTCGAACTCAAGCCGGTTACGCTTCGTCGTCTGTACACCCTCGTGGACGGCCCGGGAGAGGAGCATGTCCACATGTACATCACACGAAGAGCGATAACCTGCAACTACGGGGCGCACTGCCCGTACCTCGACCACTAACACCCGGACTCGTACGTCTCCGCATCGCCCCTGCACCTCTGTGCATCTCTATCTCCATCTCTCCCCCCCCAAGCAATCGTCCCCCTCCGTGTGTGGAAGTCGTGCAACTGTGCACATGCGGTCTCGTAGTCGCGGCTCGCCACACTGAACCCTGTCTGCGATAAGATGTAAGTCTCCGCCTCCCTCACCAAGCTCGCGTCGTAATCGTTGACCACGCCCTCGAAGTACCGCAAGTCCCGCCGGCTGGGACAGAGAATGTGAGCAGCGGCGTGCGCCGACTCCAGCATGTGAGCGCATCGAGCCTGCACCCTCTGCACAATGTAGTGTGCAAGATCTGTCGGAAGTGCACAAACCTCCTCTGCTACCTGGCGGGCGAGATCCTGTGTCCACTCAACCACCCGCGACATGTGCAGCCCTCCGCGGTCCAACCTGCGCAGATGGCGTTCACCCACTTAGGGGAGAAGTCATCGAACACCTTGATTCAGCGCGCCAACACATCAGGCGCCCGATCCCGCTCACCCTCCCTGTTCATCGTCCGGACGAGCATCACCCCACGCGACCCGCCGACAAGGAAGTTAACGATGGGTCTAGCATCGCGTGACTTCCTTCCGTCTGACATAATGGTGGCCCCCGTGACATAGAAAGGAGCCCTGACCTCCGCGAGATCATCTCCCACATCGTTCGCTGTGTGGACAATGGTCTTTATGTCCGCGATCTCATTCTCTGAAGGCCACAACACCTTCACTGGCCCCAGCAAGTCCCTGAAGTGTCGGACGACGTCCAACCATGGCTCGCTTCGGAAGACGTTGAACGTCAGGCGCTGACTGTACACAAACTGCAGCCACTTCTTCTTGAAGTCCATCCGCCACTTTGAAGTGAATGACTCCGTGATCGTGTTTTTTCTCATCCTTTTATGTGCTGCGGCTGCTGCCGTCGGTTTGTCCCCCTCCTCTCTCTCCTTCCTCTTCCCCGCAGACGCACCCGCCTCAGCCGTATCCGCACCTGCCCGTGTACGAGCCGACACGTGCGCCGACGTAAAGTACTGGCCCTGCTGCCCCCCCGGCTCGCTGACAATGCCCTTCCCTCGCTCCCTCCCTGACGACCCCGCCCGTGCAACCTCCTCGACGTCGTCGTCCACGTTGATCTGCTCCCCCGCGTCCCTCATCTGTCCCTCCCCCCCCTCGTCCCGTCACGGATTCATCGCAGGCGCCGCACCGTGAAGCTCCTCAAATCGCTGTATCCGCTCTAGGAACTTGTCGGACATCTTGTACTCACTGTTATAGTGGATGTCGACAAGTGCCTCGTCTGTCACTCTCGGACATCCCTTGCCCTGGCGAAAATGGCGCGCCGCCACGAACTGGTTGCCCTGGAACTCGTGGCCGCAGAAAACGCACTTCAACATGCGATTGCCGCGGAATCTCTTGCCGAGACTCTGTCCCACGCGGATGTACTTGTACACGCAACACTTCTTCTGCGCCTTTCGATTCTCGTCCTCCCCCACATCCTCAAAAACCCGAGATTGACTTCGAGGCATCGTGCCCGCTCGCCGACGGGTTCACCGAAGCGGTCCGCCCC